GATGTTCTCTCTTTGTGCTCTGCACTGCATGGAGTTTCACAGAGCTTCTCTTCTTCTTGAAGTTTGTACCTGATAGAGCAGTCAGCAGTGCCATTTCTCTATATGGCTGCCCACATGCACTTTCATGAGCGTTAATTTTTACTATTTTTCTTAGTGCCAATATTTTCTGCTGATATCTTGCTATGTTGCTATGTGACTTGGATCCTCCAAAAACAGAAGGGAATAAACTGTTTAGAAGAAGCCACAGTAAGGCTGGTAGCACTCCTGAATTACTGTTTTTTCCATCTTGTTGACCTACTTCTAAGAACACTCAGAATGCTGTTGAGGTTTAACCTGGCAGGCAGCTCAGCACCCTACAGTCATTTGCTCACTCCCGGCCCCTCCCCCCCCCCCCCCCCCCCCCCCCCCTCACCCAGTGGGACAATGGAGAGAATTGGGATAAAAAAAGCACAACAAAGTACATCTAGTGGGCTGAGATAAAAACCATTTACTAAGACAGAAAAGGAAGAGAAAGGGAGAATAATAATAGTAATGATAATGATAGAACATGTATTTACAAAACAAATTATGCACAACTTAATTGCTTATCACCTGCTGAATGCTGCTCTGCCAGTCCCTGAGCAGTGACTGGCTACAGCCAACTCCCCACAGTTTTCAAAATTGTTTTGCACAATATCATATGGTGTGAAATATTCCTTAGGTCAGCTGTTCTGGTTCTGTTCCATCCATCTCTATGTGCCCCTTCAGTCTCTCACTGGCAGGACAGTATGAGAAGCTAAGAAGTTGAAGCATCCTTGGCCCTTTGTAGCACTGCTTAGCAACAACTAAAACACTGGTGTGTCATCAGCATTGTTCTTCCAGAGCTAAAACACAGCAACATACCAGATACTATGAAGGCAAAACTGTTTCAGCTGAAACTAGGGTGTATGTGCAATTCATTTATGAATAATCCTCATGTAAATGGAGAAGTATCAAAATTGAGAGGTCGCTCATCCTCGAAATCATTCCATTTGATTTTATATATCTTCATGTAAAAACACACTTTTGTGTTCCTGAGATGTGACATGACACTTGCTCTCTGAGGCCTGTTCCACTAAATAATAGTGTTCAATGCATAGTTTTGTAAAATGGCAATTCGTACACTGACCACAGGTAATGCAATATGTGGTCACAAACCCAGTAAATCTCATGGAATGTATCAGTGAAAGGTGTACTCTATAGAACCAAGGAAAGAAATGTAAAGGCATTTATTTGCCTGTTACCACACATTGCCTGAAAGTTAGTGTTAAGTGGACACAGTGCAAAAGACAACAGCATGTTATGTCTCTTGGTGAAAAAAAACCCAACCCCCCATTGCATTGCTTCAGATCCTAGTTAATATGTTTTACACACTGACTTGTGTAACAGTTAGTTGGATCAGTTTTGACTGACTAGGAATACGAGTTTTGGCATGACTCAATCTCTGGTAAGAAATATCAATTGCCTTTTGATTTGCTGCTTTTAACAGCATTGTTATTGAAGACAAGACAGTCAAACGTCATGAGCTTTGTCTAAGGGTAAATCAGAAAAAAATCAGATAAGCATACACACCTGGAACCTCTCCTATTTTTATCAAATCTACCTTTAGATCTAAAAAAATTACCTTTCTAGTACACTTGCATTAGTTAGATGAGTTCATGAATTAAATTTTGTTTTTGCAGATACTGTCTGAATGTCTGAATTTTGGTAATTTCATCAGAGTTTTAGTTCAGCATAGTAAAGAGTCAGAAAAAAAATTGGATTAAGCAAAGGTACTTTAAAAGCTTAAAAGCAAGTATTTTGAACCTAAATATCTGTCTCTGCCTACGGTGTAGATGGGATAGGAATAACCTTATAAAAAATTAAGCTAAATTCATTGCCTGTTTAAGTTAGTGTTACTTCATTTACCCGAGAGCTGTTTTACCTATTTTTCACAGTAAAAACTATGTCAGCTGTAAAAGCATTTACATATGGAAAAAGGCTAATACAGTGAAAAGTATCCAGTTGCCTCTGAAACAAGATCTTCCAGTCAGTGGAACTGATTAGAGAACGGGATGTTGTCTATATAATTTTTCCTAGAGGCAGTGTCCAGTTGTCATCACTTCAGATTATCACTTAAAGTAACCCTTCCTATCGCAGGATCACTGTACACTTTCTTGGAATTTGGCATTCAGTTTGTCAGAAATGTTGGTATTCCACCTAGAGTTTCCCTATCAATGACTTACATAGATTCACAGTTAATGTAACAACCCAAGTAAACAAATCTTAATTAAATCCCATTATGTGGTTAAACAGCAAAATTATGAAAGATACATTATTTTTCCACATACTTTGCTCTTTGAATCATTTGGGAATTTAGAGGTTTAGCATTTCTTTAAAGAATAGTCATAATATTCACATCACAGGCAAAGATATGAAAAGAGTCACTGAACATGCTAGGCAAGCTATGAGTGAGATTTCTTCAAAGGCACATCCTCTTTGATTAGTTTCCTGTCATCTGCAGGTAAACCATTTACAATGCTCATTCAAGTTTCAGTTCCCTGTTCTATTCTATCGTACTACGTCATATAGCTTCTGCTCCTTCCTCTACAGTGGTCCCTGGAAGACAGAGAAGAAAGTTGTGCTCCTGGAATCCTCCTTGATGCATCATACTGCAGAAGGAACAATACTAGCTCCTACAATATGGATATACTAGCAATACTGCATATGAATTACCACACTTCTTTTCTTTAAATAGCATGCTAACAGTTCCTGTAACTCCTCATATGGTTAGCACCAATTACAATTTATTTCTCAAGAATCTGGTTACAGAAGGCACTCAAGGTACTCACTTAATGACTGATACTAGCAATTATCCCAGGGTTGAATTAAATGCTTATTTTCTACAACATTAGCTGTCTCAAAGAGAAAAAAAATCTAATCATCCAAAGTACAAAGCAATGGAGGAGTATGTTTCTTTTCCTACATACATGGCTAGACATCATGGAAATATTCACACCACAGATTTGTGATCACACAAAGCTTTTCCATTACTTTATGCTGTTAAATATAAATAGCCAAGACAGTCTTAGAAAGTTTTAAATATAAATATTAGAAATATTTTTGCTTGTTTAGTTGGGTTGTTTGGGTTTATGAGATGATAGGAGAACTATTTTTTTCTGATAAACACAATATAATTGTGGATTAATTCTGTTCACAGAAGTGTGGAACAACAAATTTTCTTTGAAAGGTTAATCAAATAAATACTATAGAAACCCCAAGATCAATAGAAAACATCAGTCCCTTTGGTCTCTAATGAGGTAGAAAAACCAATATTAAAAAAAACCCAAAAAACAAAAAACACCATCACAAATCCTTTATACTCTCTATAGCACTTTGTGATCATTCTAAGCAGATTTCCTATAAGTTTTCCAGTACTGCTCATTGTATATTCTGTAAATGCTGTACACAGAGTAAGCAACGTGAGCAACGGTTAGAGCTAGAGCACTAACTTGACAAGCTGTGCAAATTTTACTTAGCACACAGAATGTTTGCTGCATCTTTACTCATCTCCTTAGCTAGACTTTCATTTCTGCAGGCTTAGATTATCACTTCGTCATGTCTGTCAGTCACTAACTGTTAAGATTTGGCACATTCTGGCCAAAACATGCATTTTTTTCACCTGATTTAGGATGTTCCAGCTCTCCTTGGCTTCACCAGCATCCTTCTCCTTGTGTGAAAGCCTAGCCATAGAGATCTGATCTGTGTCTCTTGGATCTGAGTGGGTGACTTCTCCAAATTCTTACTATGGAGAAATACTAAGGTTTATTTCAGGGAGTATACAGGACTGAAGTTATGCAGATATATAACCAGGTTACTGTGTGAAAGAAGTGAGAAGAAAATGTTTTCAACACTTCTGTTCAAGCCATCCCATGGAACTCTTAAGGCAAAGAGATGGGATTCCATTAGCTAAATAGGAAACACTTCTGCTCTTCTAGTAATTTTGCGTCATTTTTACAGTTGTTTTCCAAAAAGATTAAAAAATAGGAAGTATTTTCCTTTGTCCCTAATGGCAGACTTTGAGGCTCAGAATGTTTCGGTGCCCATTAAGTGGTAGGTTGTTTGACTTCTTATTGATCTAACACTGCAGGATGTTCTCCCAGCAATCTTGGCTTATCGATGCCTAAGTTTCAGCAAGAGTTGCCTTCATGCTCAGTATCATTCAATACAGAACGTAAGAATACCAGTCAGTTTTTTCAGCAATATTTATCACATACAATCTTGAAAATTCATGAAGCTTGTGGAAAATTTGGCATAGTTGTCACAAAAAGAATACATTTACAGAGGTGAAAATTAAATACCATATGTAAGTGATATGCACTTAATGATAGCTTTGCTTTTCAACAGTTTGAGTATTATTTAAAAAACTTTTTCATAGACTTCCTGGATCAGTTTTCCTTACCTTGTCTATATTGCAGTACCTTATGAGGGCAATGACAAACAATGAAAAAAAAAAGTTTGAATACTGAACAGAAAAAGATAATGATTCTTGACATGCATTTCATAAATTAATTTGTGCTGCTTTAATAGTATATGAAACTTAAAAGCTTCCAAGATGAATAAAATCCATTTCTCTTTTCCACAAATTCTGTGAAATTTCATTACTGGACTTTCTCCACACCCCAACAAATTTCTGTTTTCAGGAAAATAGTCACATCTCAGACATCTTTCAACACAGGAATGCTCTTCAAGTTTCTCAAACCGTTAAAAATATAGAAGAGTTTATCACATTTGTCTCTTTCCATTTACATAAGACCTTGTTGCTATGGATTTCTGCTCCCATTTGTTCTGCTTTGGAAAGCTGCGAGAATATTGTATGGAAACACACTATTCTCACAAAACTCTAAACAGTATTTTTCCATGAGAGAAATATATTTGTCCCGGAGAGTTTCTTACTATCAGATGTTAGCAGAAAAAATTACAAAACTGAGTTAGTGCATAAATCAGAGAAAATATTTATTTACAGACATGTAAAAATTATGTTACAGCATTTTAAAGAAAACTGTAATGAAACATCAATCTGTTTGACATGGGAAAACCCCAAATGCTTTAATTTTGACTTGCAGTGGTGTTGATTAAAAACATGACTGCTTACAATATTGTAGCTCTTATCTACATAGTTTTATTACAGTGACTTTTCAGAACTAAAAGTTGATCTACAGACAAAACTAACAGGGACATTGACAATATGTAATACAAGAGTTTACAAAAGTAAAAATATTTTTTATTGATTGATCCAAATTTTAAAGCCTTTTTTAGTAAATATTTTCCATCATGCAGCTGCACAGGCTTGAAACTAATACTCAAAATTCACAGAGGATGTAAGTCTTTGTTGAAAATGAATTAGTTTAATTCAGGACTACTCATTTTATGACTGTTGACTAGCCAAACTACTTGACAAGATCCTTTATGTTTCCTGTTCTTTCCCATTACAAGGGATGAACAACCTCAAAACAAAAACACAAAATGAAAAAACTCCATACAAGTAACAAAACCAATGAAAAATATGTATATGTTTTGATGGCAGACAACACTGAGTGTACTGCATACATAGGTATAGAACTGTCAAGCTCTGCTGAAGCTACCAGAATCCTCTGCAGTGATTTGAAGCAAACATGCTGTTAAGAAACCTTGCTAGTAATAGACTGCATGGCAAAGGAAGCTTCTGGCTTGCAAATGAAACAGTGTCTCATGACCTCATCAAAGGTGACTTTTTGTGTTCAAAATCTATTCAGGACTTAAACTGTGGTGTGAAGAAGGGTTGACATTAAGCCTATGAAATCATTTCTTTGAATATATGATCATAAGATACTACTGGGAAGATGTTTTTAAAAATCGGAGTGCTTCTCGGTGATTATTTGGTCATTTAGAATGGAGGTGGTAAAGCAAAGATGTACCTAGCAGTTGCCCATATATAAAAAAGCTGATCTGTTTGGATGACATTCTGTTTGGATGACAGTCTTTTAGAGTCAGTCAGCAGTTTCTTAAATGGGCAAATGTCCACTAAGATCTGGACTTGTTTTAACTGCCAGCCAAAGACAGAGATCCCCAAATGACAATTCTTGTTGAGTTTTGGCTATTAAAGATGTGCATAATCTATACTATATGGAGAAGTAGTGGAGAAAATGGGGAAATATTTCATCCTTTGATTTGTGCTAACGTTTCTCTTAGATGGAAATAATATTATCTCTCTTTTCTGGAACAGTCCCCCTTGGCAGATTCTGAGGCTGTAATTGCTAATGGTCAGGTGTAGCTAATTATACTACTCTTTCATAACCCTAATTTTTAGTGGTGGCCTATCATCTTACAAACAAATGTTTTTTATAGATATTGAAGGACTGATCTGTTAAAGAGCCTCTTCAATGCTTTCATTTTTATCTTTCTTATCTTTCTTTTAGCCTATGCAGAATGATTATAAGAGCAAGGTAAAGGTTCATCTGTGTGGAGTTGGATACCAAATAGCACGGCAACAGATCAGCTTAGAGAAGAGAAGGCTCTGGGGAGACCTCATTGTGGCCTTCCAACACTTGAAGGGAGCTTATAGACAGCAGGGGCAATGGCTGTTTATGAGGGTGGATTGTGATAGGATAAGGGGGAATAGTTTTAAACTGAGACAGGGGAAGTTTAGGTTAGATGTTAGGAGGAAAGTTTTCACACGGAGGGTGGTGACACACTGGAACAGGTTGCCCAAGGAGGTTGTGGTTACCCCATCCCTGGAGGCATTCAAGGCCAGGCTGGATGTGGCTCCGGGCAGCCTGGTCTGTGGTTGGTGACCCTGCACATAGCAGAGGGTTGAAACTGGGTGATCATTGTGGCCCTTTTTAGCCCAGGCCATTCTATGATTCTGTGATTCTATGATAGCAGTTAGGGTTGTTTTGCACAATGCTATGAAACTGGGTTGGAGCTCCATCTGACTGGTTAAAATATTTACATTCATATCTCACACTATTGGAAGGCTATTGCTTTAAATTTTTTTTGCCCCTACAATCACTTCAAAGATATTTCTCTCGGAGTATATCTCACATGTGGATGTAAATCAACATTTCTTCCTTGTTTCATGTCATCTGCAGCACTAAGGAAGCCTAGCTTTCAGATGGTTAATGAGTCGATACTCTCCTTAGATAAGAACTTGTACCCATATCAGATGTGCTTTGATACTCTTAGTATCTTAGTAACAAAAGAGAAATAATGCATCCACTCTATTTGAAAGGAAATATGATTTATTAAGAAATTCGATGCTGACATTACCCCTAGGACACCTGTAATAATTATTCCAACTTCAGGCTTTTAGGAAGGCTTTTGGGGTCGGGGAGTGGACAGACTGCTGTCAGGAAATGAAACAAAGAAGTAGTCAGTAAGCCAACTCAGGCTCTCGAATATTGGCAGCATAGGTAATTTACCTGACTGGGGAAGAGACTGACTGTCATGTAAACTTTCCATATGGCAGCAAGAAACTGCCTTTAGAGACGTGCAGATACTGCTGCAACAACTGCATAGTGCGTGGCATCACAGAGCGCTTATCTGAAGAAAGGGATTAACAAAAGGATCCAATTTACAGTTTATCAAAGATTGCTTTCATATTTTGACATATTTACTTTTTAGCAACTAAGCCTGTTTAGTAAACATGGTTATTTTAGATGACAAATACAATAAATAAAAAATGGAAAGTAGCATACAATGTTTTTAAGTGTGTCACTAATCATAATGATCTTGTTTGAATTAAGCTGTAAACAAGGAAGTGCAATAACACCTGACTCTAAATAGGGTAAAACATGCTAATCATAAAAATAGCTTTTAGAAATATACATTTGTATACAGTGTTTCCCACTCCTGTTAAATATGTCCTTCATAATATTATGATACAGTACATTGGCTTTTAAGACATCAAAATTAAAAAAATAATACCAATAATTAGCCAGAGAAAAACACATTTACAATCTAAACCATAAAAATCTGACAATTGTACAGCTTAGAACATATAAGAAATGGAATTTCTAATATTTGAACATTAATGTTCATTTTAATAAGTAAATTTAATTTTCATACAAATTGAATCAAAGGTGTTACAAGCCAGTAAGAAACTGCAGTTCACAATTTTCTTGGGGAAGTCAGAGTTTCTCTTCTCAGCCTTCAGGGGGTTCACACGTGGCATCTCATCACTTGATCTGTAGAAACTGAGAAGTGAGAAATATTTTCATTAGCATGAAGGCACAGAATTTCTTCCAGCAGAGCCTCAGAAGGAAACCAGGTAACCAGGGAAAAGAGAGAAGAGGACTATTATGTGATTTTTTATTCACAATCAATCCAGTATCAGTATCTATTAGAAAACCAAGACTGTGCAGCAGTCCTAAGTCAGAGTTCATGGCCAAAATAACCACAGTGAATCAAGCGAGATGGCAGAATCATAGAATCATAGAACCCTTAGAGTTGGAACGGATCTTTAAAAGTCATTCAATCCAACTCCCCTGCAATGAACAGGGACACCACAGCTAGAGCAGGTTGCTCAGAGCCCCATCCAGGCTGACCTTGAATGTCTCCAGGGATGAGGCATCCACCACTTCTCCGGGCAACCTGTTCCACTTCCTCACACCCTGCACTGTAAAGGACTTTTTCCGTATATCCAACCTAAATCTACTCTCTTTAAGCTTGAAACCACTTTTCCTTGTCCTGTCACCACGCTTCTCTTCAGTAATGCTCTGTGAATAACCACTGGATACTTTCTCTTTTAGCAGAAAATAATAATAAAGGATGCATCTCAGCTGCTTTGCAGTGAAATGCTTTATTTGCATAATAACATTCAGCCTAAATAAATTGCTTGCAAGATTCTTTGCTTTGGTTTCCTCACACTGCCTTTATACCTCATTCCACACCATTTAAATTGTGTGCTTTCAGCAATGCTTATTGTTACTAGATTGATGAATCTTTTCTCAGTGACTTTCCATTAATGTAGCCTATTTTATTATTATTACAGCATACATGTTCTAGGCTTTAATTTCATGTCCCTTTATTTCTTTTGTTTTGCCAGGCAGATTGGGAAGCAGCAAAAAATCCAATGTCAGTGAGGTTTTGGAGGGCTTTTCTTCCAGTCGGGGCCTGAAATAGATCACATCTAAAAAACATGTATCCTGCTATGAGGGCTGCTAATGCCACCAGCTTCAGCAAGGCATTTGGTGGTGCCACAGAGGTAGTCTCCAGAAAAACTGCCTACAGAAAAACTGACAACACTTTCCCAGCCATTTCGGTTTGGAAAATTCACAGTAGAAAATGTTAACAGAAATAGCTTCTTTTCTTTCCTTTTCCTTTTAAGTGAAATTAACATTAGGGCTGGTCTCTTCCCCTTTGTAAGAGTCAACCAGATTTCCCACTTATTGCAAAGGTTGTGCCAGACTTTTGGTTGCATCCTTCACATGTAGCCAGGGTAAAGCCCACATGAGAGATCCCAGAACTTTCTTTATTCAGTCAAAGCACTCCAAAACTGTTATTCTCTGCTTGCACAGAGGAAAATCTTGATCTCTCTCTAATTTTAGCTGCTGATATCTGTTCAGACTGACTACATCAAAAAAGAATTTTAAATCCCAAGTCTCTGAGAAGACTAATGGCTGTTAAGTAGCTATTCATCTCACAAGAAGTAAAAAAAAGCCTGCAGTTCCACTGCACATCCTACCAGCTCCGGAGAGAGTTCCTCTTTTCTCACCATTTTGTCACCTATACTTTGCTCTGCCATTATGCTATTATGAAAAGCAATAATTATGTAAGTAAGAACACAGACAGATTTTCAAATTATTTATTGGAGCTTCTTCCCTGCCTTTCAAGCATTTACCTGTCACCAGCACTAAAAAGTTTCATTAGGTTGCTATTATGAAGTGTTATCGCTAACCATCTGGATCCAACTCATCAATGCTGCTTTGCTGTCATTTAGAAACAATGACAAAAATTTACCAACCCCAGAAACCAAAAATCCTATATTCTTTTCTCAGCATACAGGCTAGTTACTTGCCTCTTGAAGCAGATAACCTTAAAGGCTGAGAAGAAACTTTAAAATCTGAAACAGCCAAGTTTTATTTTCCATAAAATGAGAGCAACCCAGGGCTATGATTAATCTGATGTACTATAATACTAATTTCATTCTATTTCTTTCTTCTGAGTGGTTTGCAATTTATCAACTGGCTTTATGGTACTGCTGATGATATTAAAAGAATCTCATGATGACTAATATTTTTTTAAGCTTTTCATTTCCTTCTTGTTACATATATAAAAAACATCCTGACACAACAAGGATGAACTGAATTACATTTAAGCCAGCAATATGGCTTTCATTTGATGCAGTTCTAGCAGAAAACCGCTTATAAATGCATGATTTGAACATAGTGCATTTTATGAACTGAATAACCGAACAGAACAGGCAGTCCTGGCAGCCGTACATGGTATCAAAGAAACAGTATATACTGTCCTAATTGCCATCATAATCTCTGAAAAAAGCTGGAGATGGGTTATGGAATATTTATTGGTTCATTTTCCACCTGAAATTATTTCTGCTGTTTTTCTCCCCGTATGGCTGGCTTTTTGAGTGTGAGCTATTGAAAGCACTCTTCTTAGGCACAACACCGTATTTCAGACTTCCAGAAATGCTACTGCTACTGTTATTACAGTTCCAGTTTGATCCTTCCAACATTTTCACCAGACTCCAACTACTCTATATTCAGTTAATTTTAACTTTGCACTGCCATCATGTATATACCCCAGAAAGCTAACATTAAATATTAAATATCTGACTAAATATAAATGCTGTTCTACTTTATGGGCTCCAAATATCATCACTAAAAATAACAGAATAAAAATTCAGATAAAATCAGGTAAAATACAACAGAAATCTAGAGGAGATTTCATCTTGTCTTTTAAAGGTCTAATGGTTTCATCACAGATAATTTTTGCCCGCATTATTCCCCTTTGTACATTTGCAGGTCTTTAGGAATGCCCTACTAGTTATCGATTCTCTTAGGGAAAGAGCCTGGCCATCAGATCACCTGCTAGGTGCAAATTCCCTCTATGTTGTGTGCTTCATTGTCACAAAGTACAACACAATAGGAATAGTTTTCACTCTGCCTTTCTCTAAAAAGCATTTAATTAGGAGGTAAACTCAATTTCTGATAAAGACACCTTTTTCTTTTTTTTCTTTTTTCAAACTGGATGGGCCGCTCTGTCTCCCCACCTTTCCCATGCAGTTGAAAGCAGTAATGCTGACTACTACTTTGCAGCCAGGCAGATGCTGCTGACTTTCCTGAGCTCAGTCAGGTGGTCTCTATTTCTCTATGGGTGGTGTGACTTTTGAACTCCACAGGCTGGGCTCAGACAGAGGTCAGCCTTTTTCTTGCTCCAGTATATTTTTTCTTCCTTATAGTTCTGAAAAAAATAAAGGTAAACAATGGGGAATGTTCCTTGTTCCCCACAAATCTTTATTTTCCTTCTAGTTGTGTTTGTTGGTAAAATGTGATGGACTTTACCATGATCATCTTCCAGACCTAAACGTATACATATAAATCTTACTATCCGAGCGTAAAAATTCTGTAACGTCCTCGGGAGAGAGTATAAAGTATGAACCTTGACTATATGACACAGAAGTTGCACAAGATTAATGTTTTCTCTTGAAGAACATTAAGAAAAAGTTTAGAGGAATATCCCGCAGAACATGAATGTTACAGAATTTACAGTAAGATTTACCCTGCAACAATTATATATAATAACAGCATCCAACAAACTATATGCAAGATGTTGATCTCAAAAAATGTATCTGTACATCATAACAATAGCCTTAGAAATTCCCAGAAAATGCAGATAAATGGTGGATGGTTGGACGACTGTACAAATACACACACGAACTTGAAATCCAAATCCTCAAATATCCTTCCCCTTGTTCTCCTGGCTTTTTCCTTTTTAGACAAACCCATTTCCAAAACTGCATTGCTGAGTTGGTAGCTACAAGGTAGACCACTGTAGCTAATTCTGACTCTGGTTTCAAAGCTGCATTTCTACATCTGCAGGTGACTCGAAGGCCAACATCTTCCCAGGTTGTTGGTGGTGTCTGACAAAGATTTGACTGTGGGTTACCTGACTGCCATACTGACTGCTTTATGCAAACAGCTGCAAACCCCCCATTGAAATGCACGTACTGCACTTTCCTGTTACTCACATCACTGGCCTTCCTCCTAGCATTACCTCAGACTGCAATTGTGGCACAATTGCTTTGGTTGTATGTGCTGCTCTCATCTATACTGCTATGTCTACAGCTAAGAACAGTGGATTCAGGACCACAGATGTGACTCTTATTTTCTCTAGGATGGTGTCTTGCATTTCATCCCTAATAATATTTTTTTCTGATTATGAAGTGTAAATCTGGACGCTCAAAGAGGAGAAAAACTGAATGTGTTTGCAGAGCAGATTTTTTTCTTTAAACTTGAATCATGGATAATAATAATGGATTATTCCAGACTTGTTCCTAAAATGAGAAAAATCAGGATGCACTGGTTACTGCTGGTTACAAAGCAGTAGAGCAAATTGCTATTCTATTTGTTTGCTTGGTCTAACTCCAGATAATATCCTCCCTTTCTATTAAGCAGACAGCTTGTATTGATTGCAAAAAACAGTAATCTATGTTTGTAGGGTATCCTTGTGGCATGTCCACCTATTGGTTTTTACGTATCTTTCATCATCAGGAATGGAAACCACAAGCAACAGACAGGACTTAGCAAAGAAACTTAATTTTGTGTTACCTTTTGCTTTGACACCTCTGCTCATTTGTTCATTTGAAAGAATTCCTGTCCCCTAATTTAAAGTATAAAATCTCTACTTAAGTAATAGGTATATAGGTGTTTTCGTATAACTCCTCTGTATGAAGAGTAAAAGCTCAGTGTAGTATATGTTAGCAGGGGGTTTGAACGTGCTACTGTCATTTGTAACAGTTCTGTGTAAAACCTGACAAAGTTATGACCCTAAACCAATTTATTTTTTTTTTACAATGAGCTAATGATAGTATACTCACTGCATATAACAAATGAACAGTTTTACAGTTTCATAAATATTAATAAAGAATATTTGAAGGAAACAATTGCACCTTCTTTAAATCTTCCTTCAGATGATGAAATCTAATCATTTTCTTTTGTACTTTGTCAGTTGTACT